AACTTCAATATGTAAAACCTAAACAACCTTGTATTAATCAATATAATGCTTTTGAAAAGAGTTACTTTGAAATAATAAATATGCTCATGAATGACTATAAGACTGGTATCATTTTGCTCATATTAGTAAAATCCACTGTTACCTAAAGCCATTCGCTTTCAGTATTATGTTCACTATCTATCCCGTCTGATACAAGTGTGAAAGTCATATATTGTAGCATTCATTGCTATTCAATATTATATACCACTTTGAGATCACACATGAATGACTCCGTAAAGTCATTCATGATCAGACATGATTACCTATGTTTTGAGTTCACTGTCAGTTTACTTTTTCTATTATGACATAAGAAAAAAGCCACCAGTCTAACTAATTTTTCAATTACGAGATATTAGGAGAAAATATATCGAGAGTTTGAATAATTAATACGTCGTCACTCGTCATTTGGACTTTTCCGAATAATATCATAAGTCTCATTATCCACTTGAGAACTTTATATAGATTTTTCAGATTGCAATTCGTAACAAAAAACAAAACGTACTGTAAAAATGACAAAAATTTATTTTCTTTCTAAAATATATTAATTTAGATTGTCTTCTGTTAAAAGATAACAGATAGAAAATAGAGGATAACGTTTTTATTTTTATTTTTTCAAAAAATAATATCTTTAAAATAGTTCGCCTAATTTCTTTTCAAGCTCTTTGTGTTCTTTTTCAATGGCAGCTAGTACTTCTTGCTTGCCGAATGTCGTTAATGCCCAAAGTGAAATAGCCTCGTTGATCCTTCCATTAGAAGCAGCCACGAGTTGCATAGCCTGTGTCAACTAAAAATATAGAAACGAAATAATTTTAATAGTACTCGCGAAAATCAGTTTCGAAAACAAGCAGAGGATATGTAAAAAATGCTTTAAAAACTTTTCTTGTTCTGTTGAAATGGCTTATGACGAGGTATAAAAAATTTAGCACCTTATCTTCTTCCATAGCCATTTAGTTTACGTTCGAAAAATTGTTTCGCGATTAAATAATCGTTGCAACCTTGTGAACGATAGTAACACGCGTCGTTCAATGAAAAATGAATACGCTACTGTGAGCACCGTCGACGAACGAGTGACCTATAAAGCGACCGACGGAATATGGAGGTTCTTTTTCCCTTTCTCAAGGGTCAAAATAAGAGAAAAAAATCGTGTGTCTCATCACAGGCCAAGTGAGAAGGAAGAAAAAATGAGTCAATGATTCAAAACTGCTAGCACAAGCAAACGATCGTAATAGTGTTAGAAACAAATGACTCATGAAACGGAACAGGAAAATTCGCCTGTTTCTTTGGAAAGTATTTGGAAAAGTAGCAAAGAAAGTTTTCTACTTGTGGACTATTGGAAAATAACAAACAGAAGTCATCGACTATTATGTTCCTAGTATCAGTTTCGTCCTATAAAAAATTCTACACGATTCAATCAACTTAGCACACTTTCCCGTGGGATAAACGTAGAACTCGATTGGAGCTTGTTGTAGATTCGATCAAAATCAATTGAATGTGCTTCATTCACATGATTCCACACCATCTTAGTTTCTTCAAGAGTCAAGCCATCCATAGATCCACTTGTTTGAAACGTTTCTTTATCACCACATACCGGACAACAGCCCGGGTCGAGCAATCCGACAGTAGGCACCTATCGGAACTCATCCGATCCGACTGGAATCCAATAGTATTTTAACGGATCTTGTCAGATCTTACAGAATTATCGTTGGATCCCGGGTCGAGGAATCGACGTCGGATCCTCAGTGTAGGATTCCTATGAATTCCAAGGAAAAACGGTTTTATGTCATCGGAAGTTCATAGGATTCCGACACTGAGGATCCGGCATCGATTCCTCGACCCGGAATCCAATAGAATTGTATCGGATTGTAGGATATTTCCAGGTTCCTATCGGATCCGATGTCGGATCAGTCGACCTGGGAGAGCTCACCATTCGGAACTGCAAAAAATATTTAGGCAAGAATTTTCACAAATTCATGTTGAAAGGAAAACGAAGACTAACCTGTATTATATTTGAAATTTTTGAAGTACTCGAAATTAATATTTGCCATGAAGTTTAACCGACTAAATAGAAAAACAATGATAAGAGAGTAAAAAAGATGTGTCACTTTTCGTTTTACTAGCCAATGTAACTTTGAAGATAAATTAAAATTCAGTGATCAACGATGATAAGAGAATCAAAATAAATCTTTCTTATTTTACTACTTGATATCAACTCTAATACAAGATTAAACGAAAATCGGTTGACTAGAATAAAAAAAGGCAGCGATGACGAGAGAACTGATCTGTAGTATTCACTTAGGACGACAGCTAGCACTAGCACAGTTACGAATGAAAATGAAACAGAAAAGTTAAAACGTGAAAAGATGGTCAAGGAGAATAATAAACAAAGCTGACTTTTTCAGAGAGAGAGAGAACAGAATGAATAGTCGACGTAATGAAAAGAAAAAATAACAATAGAGGATAATGAGAATAGACGGTGAATGTGACTTGCTCTCTAGAATTTTACTCGCGAAGTCAAGTTTGTAAGGACTTTACGAATGATAAATATAGATGTGTTAATCATCAATTACTGTATGATTACATCATCGAAAAGAACAGTAAAAAATAAGACGAAATAATAAAAAGAGATATTTTAGAAACAGAAAATGGGGCATACATTATAATCGGTTTGCCTGCTCTTCACCGATAAGATTTTCTCAAACTGGACTTTCGGCAATATACCCTTCGGAAATTCACCAACCATTGGCGAAAGTCTTATTGGGGAAGAGCGGAAATCCTCTTTAATCAACGATCGATAGGTGTTCGTAAATAATATCACTGTAGATGAATTTCGCACTCATTTCTTCTAACATTTATCGTTCTTTAGGATAAAGTCCACTCAATCTAATATTTTCTTCGTTTCTATCGAATCTCTAATGGATCGAATAGGAGACTTACAAAATGGTCACTGAAACACCTGTTGCTCCATTGATTATTGATGCCGCTATTGTAGATATCGATGTTGAATTTGTCGTTAATGGTGTTGGTAGAATTATTAAATATGAAATACCTGTTAAATGAGATGTGAAATCAAATGTAGCTGTTCTTAGGCCATCAGTACTTGTTGAAGCCTGCCGGGTGAATCTTTAATTCACACAAAGATGGCGACCCTGGGCTGCCGGTAACCAATTTATCGGACGGTCGTGGTAGCAACTCGTCAGTCAGACTTTAAACCCAACTTGCTAATGAAAAGAAGAAAACCAAGTGCGCGAACGCACGCCACAGGACCTTCTTTGGAGGCTCGAATGTTAGAACCTGTGTCAAACAATCAAAGAAGGAGCTTATTATGAAACAACTACAAAAAAATCGTATTCAAATTGCTGCATTGAGTGAAACATGCATGTACGATTCTGGAGTTAAAATAATAAATGAATTTACATGGATTTTCTCCGGATTACCATCAGTAAATAAAACTAGAAATGCTCATGGAGTAGCTATCTGTTTGGACAAAACAGCTGCTAAGGTATGGAAAGATTCTGGTTCGGAGTGGGAAGCAGTAAGTGAGAGGATCGTAAAAATTAAACTGAAATGTTTATTTGTAAATTTGACTATTATTTCTATTTATTCTCCTGTAAATCCAACTAACAACAAAAAGAATGATGACAGCCAAAAATTTTATAATGATTTACAAGATGTTATTAATCGAATTCCAACTGAAGATATGTATATTATCATGGGTGATTTTAACGCAAGAGTGGGATGGAATAATCAAAAACAGCAGAATTTGTCGAATAGTATCGGTCCTTATGCAGTTGATATTACAAATGAAAATGGAGAAAAGCTGATTGATCTAAGTACAATTAATAATCTTATAATTACGAACACATTCTTTAAACACAAATTAGTACATCAAACGTCCTGGATGCATCCGGGAAATAAGCAGTGGCATATGATTGACTATACATTAGTAAATAAGAAATTTAGATCGAGTATCGAAGACTGCCGTATGTATAGAAAAGCTGCTGGTGCAATCGGAACAGATCATCATTTAATGCGAATCAAAATTAAACTACACTTTAGAAGTAGAAGGAAATTGTTTCAGAAGAAAGTAGTTTATGATTCAATAAAAATGAAAAATGATAATGCATTAAAACAATTTCAAAAAGATCTCATTCCAACACTTTCCGATGCAACAGATAAAACAATTAGTATTGATGAAAAATATGACCGATTTGTTGAACATATGAAAACAAATGCAGAGAAAATTTTAAAAATAGATGAGAACAAAAATCGTAAACGTAAAGAATGGCTTACTGATGAAATATTAGAAATTGTAGAAAAAAAA